CTTATATTGCGTTGCCTTCGAGGCACAAGGACTGACACTAATGAGAGAACCTAGATAAGAAGACTACGGGCCTAGATTGGAAAGACACCTACGAAGACCATTAAGTGTGTTAAGGACAACATATGAACACTGCCTATTTTGCTTATGTTGCCGACAAACAAGTAAGCGAAGAAATACAAAATATTGTTAGGAGAAAAGAGGGAATCTTCGCTCTTGAATTTCTTTTAAAGATATTTAAAACAATATTTACGTTGTTTTTATAATCTATCACATCCAAAGGCAATAAGTATAATAGTGATAAAATCCCTTACACAGTGGAGTGCGATATGTCTCGATATTGCTGTCGGCGGTAATACGACGATATTTGTATTCCATTATATTGCATTAATTATAATAAACTGGTTGTAACAATATCGGACTATCCCTTATTAATTATTAAAGAAAACCCGCCAATTAAAAGGATATGTGGAGAGAGAATACCTTTGAGATCCGCTGCTTTTATATCAGAAAGTTAAATGAAAAGGGAATACCAGCGAATACATCGACCACTTTGGGGAATGAGGAAAATATCTTGAATAATGTCATGTTTTCTCTCCCAAGAAAGATTTTTTTTATATATCTGAAACCTTATCTCACAATTTAAACAAAAAAATATTATTTTTTAATCTTGTGTTTACTTTATTTATATTATACACAACCAGCATATATCATAAATATATGCAAATATAAACTTAATTAACAGGTTTTACTCCTTAACTTCATGTCAACCAAGTATCTCTTATTACTAATTTATCATGTGAAACGATTAATTATTTTAAATAAACAAAATTACAAGTACTTTAGAAGAAAAAAGTTTGAAAATTCGATATTCAAGTCCCGTCAGACTTTTTTAATAGAAGAATATCTATCTGATATAAAATATCACTTAATTTTATATTGATATAACAAGTTTAATCATAATGTTATGAAAAATATGTAAAGTTAATGCTTTATAAAGTAATTTTCACTTATGGAAAAGTGATTTTTAAGAGAAACTTTCTGAATTAGCCATACATAATTTCAGTTTTGTACGACTTTTTATTTCGTTCACTCTCACAAACAATTTTGCGGGATTTTAAATTATTGTTTAGAATCAAAGACTCCAAAACGTCCATGTCTGATGAAAAATCAGATTCGGGTATTTATTTATATTTTCTGAAATTACTATAAATACATTGTCTGCGGATCTCTAGGTTTAGTACAAAAATGTACAACGTTTGTTAAAATCTTTCACAAAATCAAAATCACAAATGACTTACGTAAAATAAATCTTTGCGTTTAACCACTTGAAATAATCCTATTATTTATTTATTTTTTTTAAGAATAATTTATCTTATTGCTCGGAAAAGAAAATACCTATCTTACCTTTTACCACTTACTTTTCAACAATACTGAAAAAAAAATTATGTTCCACCATTTTTTGCTCTTAAGGTCTACTATAACATCTTTATTTTTTTTTTTTATGATCCTCCATTTTAATTTTCATCAATTCCATATATAAATACATACATACAGAATTCATATCTGTCTTTGTTAACCATTGTCCTTGCTCTGTCCTATGGTATTTTAAGGAAAGGGTAACATCTTTAAATATTATCGTGTATTTATGAGGATTGTTATTTATATAAATTATTCAGGTAAGTAACTTACTTATTTCAACCAACCAACTGTTCAATATTGTTCCGGAAACATATCCTCAATGGACTTTGGTAATGTTATCTGAATCGTTTATGATTTAAATATAGTGTTTATTCTCATCGCATAGTCGCTGTAAGTATAGAATTTCGATCAGTTGGATTAAGAATATATCTGTCACGTAAATAAAAATCTAATAAAAGCTTCTTTATCTGAACCTAAAGATATCAATGAAATAAATGTGGCCTCTGTTTATAGATGGCACTCATTCATGCATTATTTGATTAATAGTGTTATGGTCACGTAAATGGTGTAATTTAAATGAAGCCTAATAAATACAGTTTATAAACTTTACATAACATTTTATGATGTAGTTATCATTGTTTCTTTTTATTGTCACTAGTTCTGTGATAATTTTAATGGTTTTTATGAGAAGTGTTTACCTTTAGTAATTGTTTTGTACCAAGAATCTATTTGCTTCGTATCATTACATTTTAATGACTATCTGTTTTCAATAAAATACATATGACTATGTAAACATTTTTTTAAATTCTAAATAATCAAATAAAAAGTTTGTAATGGATATATAATTTTATAATTTAGGAATTTTAACTACATGAAATATAGATAGATAGAAAGAAAAGAACTTTATTCTGGGACACCGTCCCTTGAGAATAACAAAATAGAACTAAATCAAAAGGTTACATCTGGCCAAAATAAAAATAATAGAAAAAAAAATAATGTAAAGAAAATATAAGGTAACATAGGTATAGATATAACTAAATCATAAAATCCATTACATTAGTAGTTTGTTCTATGTTGTAGTAGTGCAGATTTATTTTTAATACAAGGAATCGTTCTGTATTTCAGCTGAATGTTTTTTTTTTAAAGTGATAACAAAGAACTTTTGGGGTGAGATAAACAGCATAGAGAGGGTGGATGAAACTTTTTTTTTTTTTTTTTATGAAATATCATTTTTTTATAGGACAAAGTTCCTTAATATGAGTAATGGTATACAGACAAAAACATGTAACAAATAAATAACTAAAAAGTCAGTAATAAATGAAAATATGCACATAATTATCATTAAAAAAAAAAGTACATTGGAAAATAAAATAAATAAATTATTTATTTCTGTGCATATTTGCAATAATAATTGGCATTAAAGAAAAGTGGTGGGGATGGGGTAGAGACACCGCTGTCATGGGCTACCAGTGCCTAGGTTAACTCATGGATTGCCTTTTACTTTTTAGCTTAAACTAATACTTTCAGCTTCAAATCTTCTAAGAAATAAATATCTTTCCGTTTTTCTCTCACTATGTAGTCTCCAAATAAAAATATTTACTTAAAAACGTCTTATATTTACTTTTATGAATTTACGTAGGTTGTATTAAACTTATTTTTGGCGGGACCTACAGAAAATAATAGTGAATATGAACTTTGTCTGGGTTTCATCTCACAGAGGACTCTTAGACAATAAAAAAATAATAATAATAAAATAAAATAATATGAGAGGTAGCAAACATAACGCCAATAAAACATATCACATTAGAGGATTGGGTACCTCAATCAGAGAAAAATCTAGTAGATAACTGGGAAAGCAGATGAAGAATAATAGTATCCAAAGTATTGGAAATAAAAAAAGGGAAGCAACAAATGGGTTAAAAGCACAGTAAATTGAGAAGAGAAGAAATTCTGTTGTGCCGAATACGAATTGATCACTGCCTCTTTAGTAAAGAGATGAGCAAATGCTCTGAGTACCGAGCACCAAGTATTTTACTCGAATTGAATCACTATGGGGAATTCAATCACTTCTTCAGTTAATCGTTTGACATTAACTGAAGTAGTAATTAATCTGTTTGTTACTAAAAAAAAATTTGATTAGAATATTTGGTACTCAGTAATCAGAGTGACATTTTCCCACCTTTAATCAGTAAAGAATCTTTATTTACAGGTATCTTCTCACAGATCTAGAAGCACCCAGGAACCCAAATTGTAACAATACACCTCAGATCATCAAACACTCATTACAACAATTAACTCTGTTTCATTACTTAGAGAAAATGAATTGTATAGAAATATATTGTAATAGATGAATAACTTACTGCCCCGTAGTAATTTGCAGGCATTGATGACCTGAATGTTTTACGCCTTAAACCACCAACAAATAAACAATCAAACTGCCCCGTAGTGGCGAAAAAAATTATGTTTATAAAGTAAAGCAGAGAGAATTTTTATTGTTTCGTGTTTGGCAGCCATACACGTCATGAAGTGGACTCAGGCCACAACCCTTGTCCCCACCACACTTCACAGACGGACTGTTACTTTTAGTTTTTTTATGAAAATGAATCTTTTTATTATTATTATTTTAAAACGTGCAATATCAATTTTATATATCGTAGGTTCATTGCAAAATGTCACTGAGTACCATTCCATAAAATTGAATCACTATGTTCTTTGATGAAATTTTCCTCTAAGAAATATGGTAATTGTGAGCTATTTTTTTTTGTCTTCATAGTTCTATCCACACCTGTCATAGTATTGACAATAAGCAAATGTGATCTCAATGTATAAAAATTAGCATTAAGGCATGAGGAAGATTAGTACCCAGCATTATCTCTTCCTGGTCTTTGTCTACTTCATAATTTAGAAAAGGAGATCTCTCATCCAGCTCCTCTTTAGTCCTGATGGGCATGTCAGCTGTGGCCATGTCGTTGATAAGTCCGTTGTGGTGTCCATGTAGTTTATGATGATATCGGGAGTAGAGAGTACGTATGTGTTGGTCGATAGTTGGGTGTTCTAAGTCAGTATGTAAAGTTTTGTTGTTTACGTACCAGGGAGCTGCTGTTATTAGTCTTAAAATTTTGGATTGAAATGATTTTAGTTTTTGTAGTAGCGTATGTCCTGGGTTTGAGTAGGCAAGTGTACATATTTAGTTTTTCTCTGATTTTCAATTTTGATTTGGAAAAAAGGGAGTATAGTATTTTCAGTCGTGTGTTCAAAGTTTTTCGTTTCATTTTGACATGTGGGCTGTTGTTGATATTTGATGTGCAAAAGAGTGTGTGTAATTTTATTGAATATACTTTTATCGATACATTAGGTAAAAAATGTAACTAGTGACTTTGCAATAAACTGAAAATATGTTGTTTATCACGTGAATTGTATTGAAGCTCAAATACACGCTATTTTTTCCCCCATACATGTGCCGAATTAATTATATATAGTGTTATATATTTAGCATATGATATGCTATAGCCGGTGCAGGAGAAAGTGCAGGAAGGTCATAGAAGAGAATTAATTGCGGTGCTATCCAGACCGGAGGGGAGTGGGGAGTCGCCTCTAGCCGGCTCCTCAGTACGGCCACTGCCCCGCTTCTTGGAGGGTCCTCTTCCACGCCGAGTCTCGCTATTGGTTATCCAGTCGTACTTAGAATATATCTTAGTGTGTCCTTATCTGCTCCAACTCTAACGCTTACAATAATATAGAGCTTTACTGTTTGTTGTTTTTTACTTTGTTTGGTTTGAGCATAACCTTAAAGACTAACCCCCTTGCCGGTGAAAGACAGGAGAGGACGAGGTCGAGCGACAGTGATATGGGGTAAGGAAGATGGAAGAAGGCAAGAAGAGCAGGAGTTCGCTGAAGGACCGCGTGGCCTTCTACGAGGAGGCTTGCGGAGGTGGTTCGCCCAGCAAGGAGTCTTCTGGTAAATTGCACATTCTTCCCCAACATCCTTCGTCCTTCCTCAACATCATTTTTCTTGTTCCATATCTGTACATTTAACAACTCTCAGGTATCATATCATACATTATTCTTCAAAAAATCAGAAATGCGTCTTCTGACGCTTTCTCCATGACACACCCACTACCGGTAAAGTGACAGCTCCCTATTAAGAAGCATTTATTGGACTTCAATTCCTGACAAGACTCAACTTCACATCATACAACCACCTAATAAAAATAAAAATTAATAAATTCAAATTATTTTACTTCATTTCAAAATATCACGATGTTCTAGAACATATTCTCCTTTTTCGAAGACTCTGAAAACATAAGGTATGATCGGCCAAAGAATTAAAATTAATTCAAATGTCATAGATTTTTATTTTATTTTATTTTTTGATTATGAAAATCACTCCATACGTTTATTTCTTCATGGCCAAAAGTGGGAATTGCTCTGACATAATAAGAAGAGAGAGAAACAATTTTTATGAGAAACATAAATTTTAAAAAAGAAATAAACTCACGGAATAATTTTCAGAACAAAAAGTAGAATAAGACCAAAATGTTTGACTTTTGAATTAATTTTAAATTTTTGGACAACCATAACATATGCTTTCATAGACTGGAAAATGAACGAATATGGCCTGAAACGTTGTTATATGTTAAAACGAATTGATATGCAACAAAGGAATTTGTACAAAAAGGGTTTAAAATATTTCTCTGTATAGTAAATTTAGATTGAAAATTAATATATCTTTTTAAAATATATTATTAAGGATTTTATGAATGTAAATATAAAATATAATACGATCTGCCTTGCCTATGTAAACAACTAGTTTAAAATCATGGCTTAAAGCCACCTGTTAGTTTCTAGCCGGTGTTTCTCTTTTTGCAAACCAACACTTACTATAATAGTTATAAATTTTTAACAATTTAAAAATTAAAAATCACTGATAGTAAATAGTTATTTCTTTGAAACAAAAAAAAAAATTATGGATCTTAAAAATAAATAAACAGTGTGACAAGCTTGGTATATGTATAATAATCTTTGTATTTCTAAAAATATATATATTTTTTATTTTAGAATGATATTAAACTATTATTTTTATTTTTGTTGTTTTTGTGATAATTTTTGCATATCTTGATGGAAAATCCATTACACAATGTACATGTTATTAAAACGAATAAATATTTAAATAATATTCTTATAAATAAATACTATACGTTTAAAAATAAATGGAACTCTTTTAGAAAATTGTAGATAAAAAAGAATTAAGGTATGCATTGAAATTTTAAATAAAAGGATCTGTTAAAAAAAAAACATTAAAAAACGGATGTCATTTTTTAAAAATTGAGTTATTCGTGCTAATAGATTTGTAATGAAAACTGTATTCTTATAGAGTATTAAAATGAGAAAAAAAATTGCTTAAATAATTAAATTCATTTTTTGGCATTTTAAATTTCTGAAAGAACGCAGTTTATCGTCCTGAATTCATCAAAACCAATAATCCAAGCCCTTCAAATATTGTATAAATTGAAAGAAAATAAACAAAATAAAAGTAATATTTGTACTAGTAATAACAATTGTTAAGAGCTTACTTGTATATTTGATACTCAGAAAGATTTAAAATGATATGAACAATTGATTTCCTCCATTTGTTTTAAATATGAAACTTCCTTGTCAGCGATTCACAAAGCCGGTTAGGCGTGTTTTTTTTTTCTTTCTGTAATGGTTATAAAAAGAACTGGGTTATTAGGGCAATACGATTTATAAGTTTATTATTGCATTTTTATTCCTTATTACTTTTTTTTATACTGTTTATTTGTCTATATATAAACATATTACACGATATCTATTCTTGTAGTATGTCTCATCATTAATTATAATGATTAGCTTTTAGTTAGTGAGTGGTCATAGGAATGTCTTGATCGGCATTTCTTGCACCAGTGACATTAAAAATACAGCTTTAGCTCCTAGCCCAGGGTCACTCTGTGACAATAAAAAACTGCTTTTTTTTTAACCATACTTTTTTATTCTTTCCTTTTTTTTTCCTCCCACGTTACATAACTGGACTTCTGTTGAGGCGAAGTTGGTGGATATTACATCACAGTGTCTAATTATAAATCCTATTATATTCTTTCTATTAATATTTTTAAAAAATTGTAAAAAATATGTTTTTTCTTTCAAAATAATTATTTATACGTACACCTGAACCCAGGATAAAAATAATGATTAAATGATTGTTAAAAAAAACATATCTTAAAATAAACTTCATAAATTGATCAATTTTTAGTCAGAAAATAAAAGTAGGGTGAAGAATGACAGTTAATTTACTAAGACAGGCAACATTTCCCCTTATCACGGCAGAGATCATGCGATAAAATCTATTTTAGTCTGAATCTTTTCAATGTGTCATAGGTCGCTCATTTGTTGTCTATTTAAGGAAATATAGTTTAATATAATTTGATTTATTGTATCTTTCTTTTGTTGAATGAAATAATAACCATCAATTTAGATATTATGTTTTAACAATATGTGATCTCAATAAATTAAAAAAAAAATCTAAATATGACATAACCAAAAAAATAATATTGTTTGCAATTTACGATAAATATGTAAATTATTTTATATTTTTATTCATACGATTATCCCGCAGTATTTTAGTTTGAATTTTTCCCAATGTTTAAAATGACATATTTATTCTATTATATTATTTAAATTAATCACATTCTGTTTTATGTAATGAAGATATATTCCCCCTTTTATTCGAAGTAATAACATTTTTCGTTTATTTTTTGTGTAAATAATTTTTACTGTGAATCACTTATTTTTATTTTTTTTTTTCAAACACTATCTGACAATGATACCTGAAAGTTTATAATGTATGTTTTTAATATCAATTACATAAAAATAAAGTTGTACCATTCTGCTTTGTGGATTTATTTATAAGGTATTTTATTTGGAAAATTATTTAATAATAGAAAAGAAAATTTGCTTTCGTTCATAAAATTCTGTTTATGTACCTACTGCTTTTATTTATGCAATATTTTTATTTTATTTCTATGTTATTAGAAAATACATTGAAAAGATTATCAGCAAAACAAATCCTTTCGGAAGATATTTTAGGAATATTTTCTTTAAAAATAATTAAGATGTCTCATAAGAAAAAAAAAACGGAAAAAAAATTATTTACTTTAATCTCTAATATTAACTGACCATAAGTCTTTTGATGACAGCTGGGTATTTACTCCGGCCCATTCCTTATGAGTCATATTTTCATTCTTATATTTCATAGAATAAAATGGCAATGAGAATGATATTATATTGAGTGCATTATATTTCACTTTGTTAAAGACTGAACAAATTGCTAACGAAAATAATCTTATAAGATCTTTTAGGCATCCTGAAAAACACCCCAGAAATAAAATATTTTTCATAAATAACTGCAGAACTGTCCGAAATAAACCATGATTAATTATTTACTTTTTCTTTATCAGGTGTTATTTTTTTATTATATTTTTTAACATATATTTAAACAATCTCACAAAATATTAATGAAAAATTCTTCAAGTTAATTAATATGGCGATTTATTAATTCAGTTGCTGTATAAGAAAGGCCTATTTGATTTTCATTATTTTTTTTCTGATTTCACTTATTTTTAAAGTAATAGAATCCTTTAATATAACAGTTAATGTAGTTAATGATGGGAGCATTTATTTTTATTTATGTCCCACTGATATATCAAATAATCAAACATCTAAATGGAGGGACCGAAATTGGAGAGAGTCTAAGTTTCGAAAGTGGCAAAATTACAGGGAAATTTTATTTTTATGTTAAATTAAATTTAAATTTTTAATATCAGATTCAGCTTTTTGATTGTCTTGACCTTGAGTTATTTAATGAAATGACTATATGTCATAAGATGCTATTATTTATATTTGAAATATATTACCTAAAATGATGCTATAACATTTTTTACTTTTATTTTATTTTTTTATGGATGGGGAGGAGAGAGGTTAAAGAAACAGACAAATTAACCTGGACACATGGAAAAAATCATTGTTAATATTACTTTAATAAAAATAAAGTAACTTATTATTTCTATACCGAGCTACGAACATTATGAATATACGAAGAAAATATGTTAATTTTTAATATATTAATATTAAATATATTAATTTAATGTTGTAAGTTATGATTTAATTTCGAAAAAAAAATAATATAATAAAAGTTTTCATCCTTCAACTTCTGATATGAGCTTCGAAAATTTAATAAAATCAAGATAGATAATTCATATAAAATCACTGTTTATTTTTAAAATAATATTATGAAAACATAATTACTACATTATTATTGTATTCGATCATTTTTTTATATTACTCCCACAGCTTAAATTTCATCTAAACAATCAATTTCAAGCAACCGGTTGATTGATGATGGAAAATACGAATATACATTTTACATCAAAGCAGTTTTTTTCACATCAAATTTTCTTTTTATTTATTAACAATTTTGAGATTTCATTTAATTCTTGAATTGATTCTCAATTTTTTTTTCTTTTCGGGTAGGTACTTATTATCTGTTTTATTTTTTGTTCTCGTAAATTATACGCGATTTCATATTCGCTATCACAAGATAGTAATATCGCAGAATTTCACTACTAGGCGGTTCTTGATAACTGAATGACGTGGGATGTACCGAAGATGAGTAAGATGCACATAGTCGAACGTATCAAAATTATTTAATGAAAAAAAAAACACTTCAAGATCTCTGTTTGAAACTATACATCCTCATTATATGAACTGTTAACTAAGGATCCAGGATAATTCTTTTTTTATCGAAGAAACGTGCGTGAGGGTGCAATTGGAAACCAGTCCATGCTAGCAATCATCTCGTTGGCGATCGGCTCGTTTAAAACTGGCTAATTTATCAACGGACATTCACTACCTCGGGCTAGAAATTAACCAAAATAGCCACTATTG